AGTATTCATGGGGACACACTAGAGTCACTCGATAAAGTGCTTACCTCTGCCCTGTGCTTGGATACCAAACAATATACTGTACAGCTCATGTATGGATAATTCCATTGTTTTCTTTTATACTCAAGGTCAAGGAAAACATCGAATTTCCATCACCTTATCCTTTTCTTTCCAAAAATTAGTTATCTGTTACTTAATATTATGTACCACTCCACTAAATTTTATGATCATCCATTTCTTAGTTTTTGCATATATCTTACTAACGGACAGAAAGACAGGCAGGGTGAATACATAACCACATTGGTTTAACAAATTTTCTCACAGAGCAGATAAAAATCATTGTATTATTAATATACTGATATAAACCTTTAACCTAAGTACATCCTGATCACTTATCACTTGCCCTTAAGTTGGGCAACCAATTGTTGGTTTTCTTTTTTCATCTGCACATAATCCTCTGAGATTTTTTCTAGGTTAGCTATTGTCTTGTTCTTGCTCTCGGAGTCGATCTGTAAAAATGATAGAAAAGAAATTAAAAAGTGTGTCCGATATCCGATACACGAGACAAAAATGTAATAAAACAACAGATTTTCTGACCTGGTCCTCAAGGTCACGGATCTCACGCGCTACACTTCCTGTCTCCTCCACTGTCTTTATAAGCAAACCACAGCTCTAAACAAATAAGATTTAAAAATAATGATGATGTGGAACTGGGAATGACAACAACAATTAATAATAATAATAAATAATATATAATAATGTAATGCAGTTAAATTTATATAGAACTTTATACTGAAGTTTTAAAGTGCTCGAGGTGTGGAGTAGATTGTACAGTATCTTGCTTTTCCCCTAAGAATCTCTTTGTGTCTGAGCTATCCAGGAAACTTTGTCCACAACAGGAGCTGTATGGACCAGTACACCGGGGTAGCGCGCTACTCGTCTTGAAAAATGTAACTGGCCAATTGTGTACACTGGGTATAGAGTTTCAGTGTTCTCCCAACTGAAAAATTTTTACTGGTAAATTTGTCCATAAAAAATTGCAATGCGCAC